AGGAAGGAAGGAAGGAAGGAAGGAAGGAAGGAAGGAAGGAAGGAAGGAAGACTACCAATAGCACTTAGACTTATACACCACTTCACAGTCCTTTCCAGCCCTCTCTAAGCAGTTTACAGAGTCAGCCTCTTTTCCCCCAACAATCTGGGTCCCCATTTTACCCACCTCAGAAGGATGGAAGGGTGAGTCTACCTCGAGCCAGTCAGGATCGAACTGCTGGCAGTGGGCAGAGTCAGGCTGCCATCCTGCATCCGAAACCCCTGGCGCCACAGCAGGGGCTCTTGCCAGCGTCCCTTCGCGCAGACCCAACTGCCCTTCTGCTCCACCTCAGTTGTTTACCTGCAATCTCCCAGCAGCGAGATCAGCCGGTAGTAGGGCATGTTGGAAGATGCCACATAAGCCAAGATCCCAAACAGTCTTTCAGCCATTATCATGTCGTTCTGGGTAACCTGAAGAGGAGGAAGAGAGAGAGAGGGGTGGGGGAGGGAAGGAGGGAGAGAGAAAAGTCAGAGAGGGACCAAAGTAAAGCAGCTTCAACCCAAAAACTATGGATAAGTTCAAACACTGGGAGGCCCAACAGCTCTGAGAGACAGTGTGAGAGACAGTACAACTGAGGCAATGAATCAGTGGAATTAACAATTCGTGTGTGGAAGAGCTTGACCCCTGAAGTTGTGGCTGCTCCACTCCTGGAGGCTTTTAAGAAGAAACTAGGCAGCCATTTGCTGGAGCGGGGGGCTGGGCTAGAAGACCTCCAAGGTCCCCCCTCAACTCTGCTATTCTGTTATATTCTGAGGCACGATATCCATACATATTCAAGGAGGCAGGCAGTGTGGATCCTCTTAGACTTCCAAACTTGCAAAGTGCATTGCATTCCCAGTGGTTCACAAGTAATCAATTTCACACATTTGTGTGTGTGTGTGTGTGTGAGAGAGAGAGAGAGAGAGGGAGGGAGGGAGGGAGGGAGGGAAGGAAACACAGAGAGGGAGAGAGAGAAAGGAGGGAGAGAAAATAAATATATACCCATACACACAGTCTCAGGAGTATAAGAACAATCCAACCAGTTCTCAAAAAGCAATTTATGTGAAACTAAGAAAAAAAAACATCAAGAATGTTTTAGCATTTAGCATTTGAAATAAGGTGGCATAGTTGTTTTATATACGATTCTGGAGGACTTAAATGGAACTGTTCCCTCTTGGTTGAAAACCAATAAGAGTTCCTTTTTTTCTCCTCCTTCTGGGAGGTTCCAGGGGAGTTTAGGATTTTGGCTTCCTTCAACCCTCTGCTCCACGATGGACCAACGCCAAGAAAGAACTGAAAAGTAAAGCTCTGCGAATTGCAAAATACACTGCAATTCTAAACACAGTATATATTTCATACGTTTTAATGATCGATCGGATGAAAACCCAAGTTTGCAATCGATCGCAAACCTTGTTAAGATTTGCTGTGTGTCCAGAATCACCCCTTTTTTAAAAATAATAATAATACTCCAGTTACAAAAGACAGAACACCGGTGCTAAACAAACAAACAAATAAAAATAAAGCAAGCAAGCGAGAAGTGGGTTTCTCCCCCACCCTCATTTCCTGACTGCACTTTGCTTTATTCCCTATTCCAATTTTCTCATGTTTTTTTCCTGTTGGAATTTCTGCTCGGTTCACTCGACACATTTATTGGCTTATTTGGCAAACACACACGGAGACACACACACAAACACAGACGGACACGCACGCCTTACAAAGAATTTGCCCATGTCAGCAATGCAAGTAGAGTGTGAAAACTCGTAAGAGCCGGTCGTTATTCGAACCTCAGAAAGAGGCAGTGAACTTCTTCAGAAATGCTTCTTAAATTGCTGTACGCCGTGAATACATTTTTTGTCATATGAGAAATTTTTATTGTATGGTTGGCAAAAAGTTTCAGGATCATCTAAAGCAGGGGTCTCCCAACCTTGGGCACTTTAAGACTTGTGGACTTCAACTCCCAGAATTCCCCAGCCAGCAAAGCTGAAGTCCACAAGCCTTAAAGTGCCCAAGTTTGGGAGACAGACCCCCTGATGTAACCCATCTAATTTCTACAGTTAGTTAGTTAGTTTACTTTATGGTCATTGCACCTCATACAATGAAATCAAACACCATCTTCAGTGCACATCATGACCATGAAAATAAACACAAACACACATCCTTCACCCTCCACACATTGAATGGAAAACCCCTGATATTGCATTCATATTGCACTATACAGCAGAAGTCAAAAGAGCTCCTGCCCTGGGATAGAAGCTGTTTTTCAGCCTATTTGTCCTTGTTTATATTATCCTGTACCGTCTGCCAGATGGTAATAGTTCAAAAAAAAGGGGGGTTCCCAGGATGAGATGGATCTTTGAGAATGTTTTGAACTTTCTTAAGGCAGCGGGAGCTATAAAGCTCTTCCAAAGAGGGGAGAGGGCAACCAGTGATCCTCTAGACAATGACCTTAACCCTCTGGATTGCTGTCCCATCTGACCCTGGGCAAGTGGCAAACCCTACACAGGTGCAGTAAGTTAAGATACTCTCTATGGAACAGCAGTAGAAGGTCACCAGCAGTTTTCCATTCAGTTGTTGTTTTCTGAGAAGCCTCAGGTAGTCTAATCTCTGCTGGGCCCTTTTGACCAGGGCTGCAATGTGACCACCCCACGTCAGGTCTTCTTTTATGATGGTAACATCCAGAAACTTAAAACTGGCCACTTGCTCCACTCGGTCTCCACTGATAAGCAAGGGCCGGAGGTCTGATCTGTTCCTTCTATAGTCCACTATAAGCTCCTTGGTCTTATTGGTGTTGAGGACCAAGTTCTTGTCTCCACACCACGAAAGCAACCCTTGGTCCACCTCATCTCAATAGGCAGACTCGTCCCATTGACAGGGAATATATTAGCGTCCAAGACTAAGCCATCATATTGCCCTGGCCTAAAGTGAATCACAGTTAGCCTTAGCCACGGTTTATTGTGGCAGACAACATCCATCTGAAATCTTCCTCCAGCCAGAAAAAAAGGAAAGGAAAAAAAGAAAGAACACGGCCTTGAAAGGCAAATGGCTCCTTACCTCCGACCCGTTGATCTTTTGCAGGTTAAAATGGTTCAGCCTGAACAGGACGTAGAATTTCCACAAGGTGAAGGTGACCACGGGGTTCCCCTCGGACTCGACCGTCAGCTGCTCGAGCCGGCGCAGGTGAGCTAAGGCGTTGAACTGCTGCAGCGTGGTTAGGTTGGTCTCCTTGAACTTCAAGTGCTGAAAGAGGCAAGCGGAGGAAGACGGAGAGGAAGGTGAGGATGTGGCCCAGTTCGGTCATGAAACATCTGCAAGGGATCAACCAAACTCAGAGAGCACCAAGGACCCCACAGTCCCCCTCCATGCAAGACCCCTTCCCTTCTAGCTCTGATGATGTTCCCTAGTTGTGTCATGAAATGTCTGCCAGAAAACAACCAAGCTCAGGGAGCACCAAAGAGACTACAGTTCTCTTCCTCCTCCTCCTCCTCCTCCTCTCACTCCCTTCTAGCTCTGATGATGTTCCCTAGTTGGGTCATGAAACGCCTGCAAG